TTCCAAAATCATTCCAAACACGTTAAATTCATAAGAAAAATATTGGGAAGCGATTTTCATGAATAAATTCATAAATTCTTTAATTGTCTCAATATACTTCAATTTAATCACACATGGGGTATTTTTATCATTAAAATGGAGTCACTTTCATGACTCTAACAGTTGCCAGCTCCTTGTCTTTCTCACCAGCCTCCCTGGTGAGTCTGGCCACTATCCTTCAGAGCTCGTTCATTTCCTCCCCTTATCTCTCTAGCTCGGCCTTCTGAAAGTCAACCATGCAAAGAGCAGCATTCCTTTCGTTCAGGTACTGGTTCGCCGAAGTGGTGGACAAGTCTCTCTCTGCTTCAGCGGCCACCAATTCCTGCTTGAGCCGCGCGTTTTCCTCCCTTAGCTCGACCGCCCCCTCGACAGCTCCGAGCTGAACCTTTTGCAGAGATAATTGCATGGAGAGCAGAGCCTGTGAACAAAGAAAAGTAAAGTTAGTTTCTTTACTACAAATAAGCAAAGTCCTCGTTGAGGACAATTCGTTCTACCTTGCTCAAGTGCTGAACGGATGTGGACATCAGGTCCACAGAACATGAAGCCACGAACTCCTCAAATGCTCCAGCAAGGTCGCACTCTAGCAAAGTAAGAACTATCGGCTGCAAATAGTCTGGCAGTTGGCCCATCGTGTCCAACACAGGTGTGCCAGCACCTTCAACAGGTAGAGTCTCCCCCATGGGCGCCTTGCCCGACCTCCTCCCGGGGAGCGCAATCGCCTGTTGTCCTATTTGCAGCCCCCCGAGGGAGATGGAAATGCCAGCCGTGCCCCTAGGAGATCTTCCTGAGCCAATCGCCCGATATGGCTGCGACCTCTCGAGCTGGACGCCCAGTCACTCAGGTTTGGACTTTGACTCTTCGGCCTGAATTTGTTTTCGCTTCTTTGATTTTTGGGCCGTGGTCTTCTGTTTCAGCCAAACAGCTGGAGGCTGAGGAGCCCCAGCAGGTCATACCGGGGCACCTGCCGAAGTCTCCCCCGTGGAAGGACCGCCAGGGGCAGTGCCAGTCGGTTTGGCACCGTTGACCCTTAGAAAGGTGAACTGCCTTGGTCGTGGCAATCTGGGCACCTTGGGAGGCATGGTCGCTGCATGCGAATACCGTTAGTAAAACAGTTCGCTACGCAAGAAATCAAAAAAGAAGTCAGAGAAACTTACTCGGTGGGGTCTCTAAGGCCGCGTGTCAGTTGAAAAAGCTGTACCTCCTCAGATTTGCAGTCGTCACGAGTAGTCTCGCGTCGTGATTTGCTTCAGGCAGAAAACCAAAGGATGTGATTCTGTCCGGGTCCACAAGCAGCTCCAAGCTGGTCATTCTATTAACTGCAAGCAAAAAGAACAGCTCGTTAGCAAAGAACAAAATTAAGTTCGCTATTCAAAATAAAGGAAAAACCTATTCAGGTCCTAGAAACGGCAAATGCCGTCATGACGAAAGAAGAAGAATTTCGTCTCGTATGCCCCCACATTGCTCGGGTAACTGTGTGTTCCCGCTCCAATGGTAGATCGCTTGGAAAGGTAGTAAGAATCTTTGTCCTTACTCTTTTTTAGAATATACGAGCAACCGAGCTCTACAGCGGTTAGCTCGCCCAGTCTGTTTTCACAGCACGCAATGTACATGGCCACGACTATCATGTACGTGTTTGGTTTAAGCTGCATTGGTGCGATCCCGAAGTGATCGAGGACCGACCTGACAAAAGGGTGGAAAGGGATCAACCCCCCACCCTTGAAAATGTCCTCGGAGATCGAGGCCAATCCTCGTGGCGGATACCGAGTTGTGTGTACCCTATCGCGGAAGACCTCCATGCGGATAGCATACTGGTCTACGACCCTTTCAAGCTCTTCATCGGTAAGTACCGAGACGATCTCTCGAGTAGGACCTATAGGGGGATCCTGCACGGGCAAACTGGTTCCTTCCTCGGCTCTGATCGTTGGGGGGTCCATTCTGCAGTCTGCAAAAGCGACAAGCAAGGAACCTTTCAATCTTCGTACATTGTTTCGTACGATGACGTGGAGGAGAAAACATTTTCTCCCTAAAACCCTAAGAAAACCCTAACATAATACTTAAAGAGCCACGGTCAATGGGTCTGACCCAACGGAGAGTAATTCATCTCCGATGAGCTACTGATGGACAGTCGTCGCATGGCGACTGACGAAGGAAAAATCAAACCAAAAATGGGAGAAGGGAATTGTTTTTACCTCTTGAAATGAAAAAGATTGACTCTTCTGCTCCGAATATCGAACGAACACCACTCTGGAAGGCTAAGAATCAAGACTTGCGAAAGTTTCTTGCTCTCTCTAAGAATGAAAATACTGTGACTTTGCCTGAAGAGAGCTTGGGGTTTATATAGTTGAGGAAATGGTACTTTGGTTTCCCGAAGTCAAACGACGTTTGGGCGGAAAACACATCTAACCGTTGATCGCGACCACATGTCACGAATCAGCGAGGAAGAGTGACCGTCACACCTCGAGAAACCAGATTGTCATCCCTTTCCTTGAAACACTTAAGCAACGGCATGTTTTCCCTCCACATTTAATGCGCCCACATCCGCATTTAATGCTCTGATAGGGAATGTCGTTTCAACATGGCTCACATTTAATACGCATGGCTGGCACTTATTGCGCATAAGACACGTCTGTCAGAGCAAAAGGCATTTCATTTAATGCATCCGCTGTAAAAGTGCAACGAATAACATCTGAAGAGGTCGTTAGCTATAACACTCTTCACCTTATGTCGCGACGCGACGTGGTTATTCAACCTCACGTTGGTCGCGAAGCGACGTGGCGTCAGCTGCGAAGCAACATGACCATCTGTCCTTTTGAAAGCTACTAAGTGTAGATAGGTCAAGAATTCCTTCTAGGTCAGAATTATCGTTATAGCACTGAGTACCTAGAACAAGGTCGTAGACTATCCTAGGTCGCTTGTAAGAAAACGTCCTCTCGGTCTCCTTTACAATCAGGTCGGATCGACCAGCATCTCTTCAAACACATCAGATCAAGGCATTTATAGTTTCCAAGATTCGATTCTCAAACCATAAAAACTAGGAGACTTCTGTTATGCCTGGGAAAGTAGGGCTGACGCAGCACCCTGTCAGCGCAAGTAGTCAGGCCTCAGGAAGGTCCTGCAGTCATTTAGGCGAAGCCATGTCGCGTGGTGACGTGAGCAACACACTTCTACCAGTGCAGTGGGTGCGCGCCAGACTGGTGAAAGGCTGGAGGATGTCCACGTGTCCAATCCCTGCACACGTTGCGCAAATCCCTCGAAGTAGGTAAGCGACGGGACGCAAGGAAGGATATGCACGGTATCAGTCCCCCTTTCAATAGATTCAGTAATCATTACCTCAATGTATCCCACTATAAATAGAGAGTTTCTCTCCCGTTTGTGGGATTCACTCATTTTTACTCTTGATTAGCTTACTTTCACTCTGTAATAGCTTACTCCCTCTCTCTCTTGTATTCTCAATACATTAAAGTCAACTCGCTAGCCGCAACCTGACCCATCAAATATAAATACAATATCAGTGGATGTAGGATTCGCTTTTTAGCATCCGAACCACTTTAAACATTATGTATTCACTCTAGACACTCTCAATCCCTCATTCACGTGTGTCTCCTGAGTCAGCTCAACATTTGCCACGTGCGAGTCGTTGGTGTCGAAATCAAGCATCAACAAGAGGAGACAGAGGCCATAAAACGAGAAAGAGAGAGAGAGTTGCTCAACTTTTGTGTCAAACAATACTTATTTTAGAAAAAAATAATAAATCGAAATCGAAATATATATTGAAATGGAGTATATTATAATAAACTAATATAATACAGTTTATGTAATAATATTTTAGAGAAAATTGCAAATCTCCATTTATTCATAGATGAAGAGAAACGGAGGCAATAGAAACGCCTGATGCATCATCACTAAGAGACCAAGCTGAAATATGGCAACACATTTTCAGCTTTGCAGATTCAATGGCGTTAAAATGTGCCGTTGAACTCTGCATAGCTGACATTATAAACTCAAACAATGGCCCTGTCACCTTGACCCAAATAGCTTCGTCTATTGCCTCACCCTCCCCAAACATCTCCTTTCTCGTGCGCATCATGAGACTACTCGGCCGCAAGAAAAAAAAATTTGCGGCTAATCACGTAACGGTGGAGAATCAGAAACCCTCTACGGGTTGACCCCTTCATCAAGATGGCTTTTAAGTGACTCTGAGCTGAGCCTAGCGGCACTGATATTAATGCAAAATCATCGATGGCTGATGGTTCCCTGGCACTGTTTTAGCCAATGTGTTAAAGAGGGTGGATCGCTTTTAAGATGGCTCATGGCGAGGAGATTTGGGACTTTGCATTACAAAATCCTGAATTGAACAAACCATTCAACGATGGTATGGCCTGTACATCCAGGATCATTTCCAGAGCGATTATTTCAGGATACAAAGAGGGGTTTAGTAGCATTGGATCGTTGATGGATGTCGGAGGTGGAATTGGAGAAATGATGTCTGAGATTGTGTGTGTGTATATATATATTTGTAGCCAGTTTTCTGTTTTCTTTAATTTGAGAATAATTTTTTTAAAGGAAACTGTTTCTGTGAGTCCCTTCTACTTGAGACCAAACCACACAAAACATGGGGCAATTTGAAAATAATGCATTCTAGCCCTTTAATACAGTCCAATCCGGGCAGGTGACAAACAAACCCCTTTAATGAACACTAATGCATTTTTTAATTTTTATAGCACCGATAATGATGTTTGAAAGGTAGCTTATTCATTTGTTGAACAATGAGAATTCACCAAAAAATCAAAGGCAAACTCACTTGTCATGAATGCTTCCTAGGACTTGAGGATTTTAGTAAAAATGTTTAGTTGTTGCAGAGACCTAAATATTGGCAGATGATCACTGCAAAAATGTGCACAGCAAAACAGGTGCCCTCCTGCTCTAAATTTTCCATGATAAAAAGGAATGTCACTTGCTAGTTCATAAAAAATAATAAACATAATTATAGGCAAGCAAGTCACATCAATAAAATACAGGATTATTTTCTCCAACAATGAGAACAATTATTAGTTCGATGAAGTACAATCTGAAATATACTGAACAACAGAACAAACAATACAAGGATCCTAAGAATAGCACACCGGAACTCTAAGATCCATGATGAACCAAAATGGGAATCACTTATCTTTAGACGTTTCCAGGACCAGCTAAACCATCAAGGAGCTTAATTCTTGACGGTTGTCACATGCTTCAGGATCATCTGGACAACATCATAAGATATTTTTTCAGTCTCTGTTTTCAGCTGACTAATCTTTGTTTCTGTTTCTTTTTCAAGCCGCTTCACATTAGCACCAGAATCTCCACTACTCTGTTGACGAACACACAATGAAATAAAAGACAGAGTTAACACATGTATAATTAATCAAGATGCATTACTTTTAGAAAAATGAAGCAATCAGACAACAGGATTGAAAATGAATTAACAAGGTAAGCCCTTATGGATAGTTTTCAGCGCCATACAACATACCTCTGCAACTTTCCTCTGGAAGTCACGCTCCACCTGAGCTCTATATTCAGCAATTTCCTTCTCAGCCTCTTCTTTAGCTTGCTTCAGACGAGCCATTTTCGCTAACAACCATAAAATCAACATCGAAAAGTAAAGAGAAAGTCACGAAAAATTGTTCAACAACAAGATTGGTATTAAATTAAATAAAGTAAACGAAAAGGACTTTGTCTGACAAAAGATTTTCCAGAAGTAACCCAGAAAATTTTTGAGACTACTGCATTGAAAAGATTTAACCAATAAAAGATACAATTACGAGTTCCATATGCAACAAATCTTTTGTTATGCAGAACATAGCAAAAACTCTAAATTACATCAATCGTGCACATAATTTGTATAAGTAGGCAAAGATTCATCAAGTTACACAGAGCACTTAAAAAATCCAATGCATACATATGTTGAAAATTATATTAATGGATAGTATGACTACCGGCTCTTGCAGCATTGACAATGTGTTGAGCCTCTTGTTCTGCAGCCAGCAATTGCTGAATTCCACCTTGACCCCTATTTGCAGCCATCCTTTCCTGATCTCTAAAACAAAATCGGACGATTACAGAAATATAATCACAAAGTCTGCCAGAAATATAACCCTAATTATATTGCATCTTTAGCCCCAAATTTAAACTTCCTTCCAGCAATCTCAATTGTTTTGCTTAAGGATCTGAACAGATAACGAGAACTTCAACATTTCACAAATAGTTGAACTTGAAATACTTCCAATTAGACCATAATCTAATCAATCAGTTACATATAAAAAATAAAAGAAAAAAATTCTAAAAAAAAAAATCGTATTCTGAGATCCAAATCATTTGATTAACAAATTCGGAGAAATCGATTGATGGAAAAACAACAACTCAGTGAAATAATTAGGAATACAGACGAGAAACAGCGAATGGAGAGAGATATAAAAGGTAATGATCTATGATCAACAAGATCTGAATTCGAAGTAAAGGGCAGTGATAAATATAAAAACAGAAATATGAAAGGGATTGTTGGAAAGAGAGAGAGAGTAGTGGTAAGATAAAGTAGGTACCTGGTGAATTAGTTTGATTTCTGAGAAGATTGAGTGACACGCCCACACCGGAGACCTTCCTTGACTAAGGTAATATTGTTGGAAGATGACCCGACTCGACTCCATTAATATTCGTCTCGGGTATCGCGGGGGATATTACTGCTACAAAACGTCGACGTTTTTCTTTTCATCTTTTTTTTTTTTTTTTTAAAGAAACTTAATTTATATATTGAGTTCTACCTTTTTTTTTTTTTTCAAACCAAAATGGATATTTATTTCTATCTCAAAATCATATCCTAAATATTAACTATTTTAATTTTTAAATCCTACCTCATAATAGCACCCTATTCTACCTAACAAAAATATTTCAAAATATTACTCCAAATAACTAAACAAACGAATATTATTTAATAAACAATTTTTTTATGAAACATTAATTCTCTAGAATTATTACGTTGTAACAAGTATCTTTTAAAGATTATTATTTTTAAAATATTGGTGACATGAAATTTATTTTTTTTTAATTTGATCCAAAAGTTACTAAATAAGTATGAATTTATATTATAGAGTTATGAAATAATTCATTTACATACTAAAATCATAATATTTCTTAAGTAAAATAAAAATGTTTTTTTTTTTTTTCCTAATTAGAAGCTTTTTTGGGTTGACATCATCAAACAAAACAGAGTTAATTATTTTTATTTTTAATTAATGAAAATAAAAAAATAAATAATCATCTCTTTCAAATCCACATGAAGGAAGAAAAGTTCGTCAGCATTACAAGAATTTAAGAAAACAAAATATCTTTTTTTTACCGAGTGTATCCAGACCAACTTACACGCATCAAATTAATCTCTGAACTCTGAAATTACCGACTAGATAAGAGTTTCAATTGTTACCTTGTTAACAACCGAAAAATGACTCGAACTAGACCTCTAGTAATAACTCAAGAGCCCTATGGAACTACTCAACCACCGAAACAATACTCGAATTAGATCTCTTGAGAAATACTCAAGAGCCCTATGGAACTACTCAACCACCGAAACAATTAAAATATTTTTATAACATGAACATAGAATAGATAATTTGGAATTACATCCATGTTTGCCCAAAGACCTAACACATTCCCAATTAATATAAGATTTATCAGTTTGTATTACAGGTAGTTATCGTTGATAGAAAATACAAGAACAAAAAATAATAAATATCTCTAAATCAAGGATAAATAATAAATCAAGAATTATTCAAGCCTAATTAAGAAATATATTCCTACATCAAGATTCCCTCTTAAAAAACAGATTGTGTGCGGACTTTGATTGTAGTGTACATGCCGAAGATAATAAAAGTATGATTTTATTCCATTCCATCGATTAATACATATTTATTATATTTTAAACAAACTTGAAAATATAAATATATATATTAATATTTTTTTTTTTTTTCCTTTGGTAGTCAGGGTGTCTGGGTGTTCGAGCAACTGCTTTCATACACTTCAACTAACTTTCAGGATTATTGAAACCTTATATCAACAAATCTTCAGGATCTATTGAAAATCAAAGAACCAGGTAAGTCATAATGTGACAGGAAACTCCAAAGTTTGAAAATTAAAAACTCAATAAAGAGAACAAACATCCAATCACCAAATAATCCATCGGGATTAAATATTCACACACGTAAATTAACTTATACTTTGATTATTATGATTAACATTCTTGTATTTCTAGTCATCAACAAACCCATCATTTAATAAAAAAAAAAAAAGAGAAATTTAAAGGAAATAATGCAAGTAGAAAGTAGCACAATCACTTAATATTATTATAATTAAATATAATTAATTGACACAAGTAACACAAAACACAGTTCAATTTTTATTAACATCATAACCTTAGCAATCTTGAATATTGTGTTAATGTAATAAGTAACATGTGTAAAATGTAATAATTTAGTTTGTTTTATATGGGAGACAATGGGACCATGTCATATTTTCTTTATTTTTTTAAGTTACGTGTTAGTTTTTATTAGGTTAAAAAGTCAAATCACATGTTGTGATTGAATTTGTGTTTTGTAATGTTATCTTATCTACGGATTCAAAAATTTTGAAATCTGAACTTCTCTATATAAAGAGAAGTTTTGTATTTGTAATCAGAGAAAAAATAATAATACTTTCGGTTTGTAAAATTCAGCCTCTCAATCTCTTGTTTTAGAAGCAAAGAAAAGGTAACGCAAGAAGATTGATACCCCATACCACAACTTACAAAATTACATGATGGATCTGCGCCTGAAGGATCCCTGACCTTTAGCCGAAGATGCTCTGAGGACGTATTGGTGATACAATGCAGCAATTGCAGCACCAATGAAGGGTCCAACCCAGAAAATCCACTGCAAAAAATAACCAATATTTTACGTAACAATTAAGACGTAAATAAAGATCAATAAGCTTGGAATCAAATTGATTTTAGAGGTAAAACTACATACGTGGTCATGCCATGCCTTTTTCCGGTTGTAAACAACGGCAGCTCCCAAACTTCTAGCCGGGTTGATACCAGTTCCGGTGAGCGGAAGTGTAGCCAGGTGAACTGAGAAAACTGCAAATCCGATGGGGAGTGGCGCCAAAACCTTTTATTTAAGTCAAATATCAACAAAATCAATTAGGCTTTATGTTATGAATCAAACATATTCCATTGTGGAGGAAGATGTAATACGTACGGGAACATGTGAATCTCTAGCATTTCTTTTGGGATCAGTTGCGGCTAAAACAATGTAGACAAGAATAAAGGTTCCAACAATCTCCGCGCTCAACCCAGTTCCAACGCTGTAGCCGTAGGCCACCTCGTTGGCTCCGCCGCCGTACCTCTCATAGTAAGCCTTCTGGAATGTCTTTACGAGCAGACAACCACATATGGCTCCCAAACACTGAGCTATCATGTACAATAGGGCTCGCGCCAGTGACACTTTTCTCGCCAAGAACAGCCCAAATGTCACAGCCGGGTTAATGTGCCCACCTACACAATTTTCTCAAACACAGTTCCCGTTATTTACAAGTAACACCTCCAATCCGATATACAAAAACTGTACACCAAACTGAAAAGCTCAATTAGTACTCTTGATTCGTTTTTAAGGATAAAGTTTTAGGAGTGAATTATGTACATGCTCTGATTCTCACTATTTGAGTCCAAAACATAAAAGTCTAAACGATATAGCCATAAGAGTATAAATTTAACAAATTTTACTGCTTTGATGAAGAGAAGACTGACCGGAGATTCCAGCAGTGCTGTAAACAAGAATGAAGATCATGCCACCGAAGGCCCAAGCGATACCAAGAACACCAACACCGCTACATTGATTAGCGCCAAGGTTGAGATTTGGGTCAGTCTGGCTCCTGTCACTAATCACAGTCAACACAGTTATGTACAAGAACAAAAGAGTGGCGATGAACTCAGCGATGATGGCCCTGTAAAATGACCACTTGGTGAACTCTTCATGGTCGAATAACGGAGCCGGTGGTGGGTCGTGGTAGTCTTTTCCATGGATGTCGTTGTGCACAGCAGCTACTTCAATGTCGTTGCGCATGGCAAGCTTGTACTAGAATCAGAATCAACTGATAGAGATAGAGAAAATTGTTGCGGGAGTAAGAGTAGAGGGATGAGTTTTGAGTGGAGAACAATGAAGGAACGACTCTGTTCTTCGGCGTCACAAGAACTTCAATGGCCTAATCGTCTTAGTGAAATGGATTGCCTTGGACAATTTCCTTTCTGAAATTTTAATGGTTAGCGCAGTGAAAGTAAATGAAATTGCTAGAAATTTTCGTGAAAGACAATATGCCAAAGAATTTTCTCAACTACGTTCATTTTCTCTTAAGTTTTCAGAGATAAGTTTTGAGGTATTAGAGGTGTGATTATATACTTAATAAGGTAAAGTAATATAATAGATTATGTTAAAAAAAGCTACGAAATTGATCATCATTTATCAAAATGCATGGGGGGATGGAAAAGAAAACAGAGGAATGAGACTAGGCTCAGTTTTCACGGAAGAAACGTTTGATCAAGATAAATAGGAAACAATTGAAGATCCCTATTCATAGATCTTTAAAAAAATTATGAGATTAGGGGCAACTTCTAGGGTTTTTGCTTTTGTTCACTTAATCCTACTTAAAAATCAATAAATCTTTATATATTTTCTCCACAGGAAGAAGAGAAAGTAAAAGTCATTCTAGGGTCTAGAGAATTAGTTGAGATGCACATAAGTCGGTTCGGACACACCCGATCATCCAAAAAAAAAAAAAAAAAGTAAAAGTCATGGTTTCTCTCTCCTCACATTTGTTTTCTTACAAAAGTTATTTAAATGGATAGATCATTTCAAGAGCATCGTTTTGATTTTAAGATAAAAGTAACTCATGTTTTTCTCTCTTCTTAAGTTTAGATGCATATAATTGAAAATAAGTGGCAAAACTTTAAATAAATAAAAAACTAAAAAACTAAATCTATTTAAATATATCTTATAAGTGATAAAAACAAGCAGTCCTTTAGTCCTACCTGATTTAAAAGCCAAGAAAGACAAGAGCAAAGAGAAATACCCAGAATTATAAATCGAGAAGAAATACAGAAAACCCCAATCTCCTGATATTACTAACATTTATTTACCTTATACATGACTGTTTAAATAGAAGTGAAATACAATTTATTGCCCTGCAATTTAGGAAAACAAGTGAAAGACACCAAACCATTACAATTTGACCCATTCTAACATATTAAGACTGAGTAAAACTTCGAAGAATATTTCGCTCTTTTCTAGTCCACGTAAATTAAACCTAGCTATTGGTAGAAAGGAGAAGAAAAAAGAAATGGTAATAATACCAAGAAAAAGGAAAAATAAATCCCCCAAAAAACCAAGTCTTTTCAACCTGAAAGTAGCCAGGTAACCCTCTAGCCCAATTCTCCACTAATGCCAAATTTTGCTACATCAGCTTTCATTTTCATCCCTATTTGATTTGTCATTCTTTAGTATATAATAATTTTTGGGATGAGATTGTTATATATATAAATTGAGGGCACAGCACACCGACTAAAGTTATAATATAAAGTAATTGACACAACAAGTAACACCAAACACTTGCTATTAATTTTTATTACCATCAATTCAAGGAGTGGGATGATCACCAAATAGAAAAAGAAAAAGAAAAGCAAAGCGGATGACAACATTTGGGCACAATTAAAAACTAGTGCCGGACATACAAAAGGCAACACGATTGACATCTTCACCAGCATTACATAAATAATGTACGACTTTCAAGGTATCTTTAGTCTCTTAAAGAGCGATAATGCATTCCTCCCCCACCATAACTTGTTTATATGACGGAGCTGCTCCTGAAGGATCCGATAGATTTAGCAGCAGATGCTCTGAGGACGAATTGGTAATAAAATGCAGCAATAGCAGCACCAATGAAGGGTCCAACCCAGAATACCCACTGCAACAAAAACAAAATTTTACATAAGAATTAAGAGATAACGTAACAAACTGAAAATAGTAGTCAAATTGATTTAGAGGTAAAAGTAAAAGTTCATACTTGGTCATCCCAGGCCTTTTCCTGGTTGTAAATCACAGCAGCTCCGAAACTTCTAGCCGGGTTGATTCCAGTTCCGGTGACGGGAATGGTAGCCAGGTGAACCATGAACACAGCAAATCCAATTGGGAGAGGTGCCAAGACCTTTTAAGTCAAATACCAACAAGATCAATTAGAATTATGTTAAAAAATTAAACATGTTTGATTGTGAGGTGAGATGTGATACATACGGGAACATGTGAATCCCTTGCGTTTCTCTTGGGATCAGTTGCAGAGAAAACAGTGTAGACAAGAACAAAAGTTCCAATGATCTCAGCGCCCAACCCAGTTCCGGTGCTGTAGCCGTCAGCCAGCTCGTTGGCTCCACCGCCGTACCTGTTATAGTAAGCCTTCTGGAATGCCTTAACTAGCCCACAACCACAAATGGCTCCCAAACACTGAGCCGCCATGTACAGTATGGCTCGCACCAGTGACACTTTTCTCGCCAAGAACAACCCAAATGTCACCGCCGGGTTAATGTGCCCACCTGAAAAATTTTATCAAACACAATTCTCATTATTTACTTAAAAAGAAAAGAACATGAATTAGATAAAGTTAGAATCTTTGGTAGAAGACTAACCAGAGATGCCAGCAGTGCAGTAAACGAGAATGAAGATCATGCCACCGAAGGCCCAAGCGATGCCGAGAAGGCCAACACCACCACATTGATCAGTGTTAAGGGCGGGGTCAGTCTGGCTCTTGTAACCAATCACAGTCAACACAGTTATGTACAAGAACAAGAGAGTGGCAATGAATTCAGCTATGATTGCTCTGTAAAATGACCACTTGGTTAATTCTTCAACGTCGATCAACGGAGCTGGTGGCGGGTCGTGGTAGTCCTTTGCATGGAAGTCGCTGTGCCCACCTACCTCAATGTCCTTGGCCATGGCTAGCTTGCACTAGAGTCACAAATAACAGAGAAAGACAGAGAAAGTTTTGGAGGAAGTGAAGAGTAAAGTTTTGAGTGAAGAAAAGTGCGGAAAAGTGGCGGTTATTTATGGGGCGATATGAGAAGATTAGTGAGTATTAATTAAACTTAGCGTAACCGCCCCATCTCACTAATTGGGATTATCTTCACTTTCTTAACCCCACTTACTTTGGCTACTGTGTCCAAATTTGATTAGACTAGTAAAAGAAGATCAAGCAGGACTCTTCTCGTCACCAGTCAAGGTGTTTGGTTGCGGGCTATATAAGATATTGGAATAATATTATTTTATTTTACAATATTTTTATATTTGGTTTGTAAGTAATAAAATATAACAGCAATCTTTTATTGCAAACAGTATTTACTATTAGTAATGTAGAGGGTAATAAAATATAACAGCAATCTTTTATTGTAAACAGTATTTACTATTAGTAATGTAGAGGGTAATGTTATTATCTTGTTAGGGGGTGTTATTAAAACATTACCTGGATAATCTGATTTTTCTACCTATTTTGCCATTAATTAAAAATCATTTCAAACACAATTACTCTCAAATGTATACCAAATAACAATTACCCCAGCCCCTCAACATTTAAAAAATTAGCTAAAACACCCCAGTCATAAAAAGGTTTAAAAGTTAACAAAATACCCTCAATCACCCAAGACCACCGCAAGCCATGACTTCCCACCGCCGGCCACCGGTGTCAGTCGCCATAATGGTGCACAACCAGCAGAATCTGATTGATTATGTGTTGGTAAGGCCTTTTCCGGCCATGGATCTGAAACGATCAGATCTGGCATTTCTATGGTCGTTTCACGACCAAAGAAGTGGCCGTGAAATGGCCATAGATCTGGTAGTTTTTCGGCCATGGATTCGGGATCCATGGCCATTTTCGGCTTTTCTGGCGCACAGCTGACCATATATGGCCAATAGTGTGACATTCCGTCAACTGTAGTGGCGGGCGACGGTGGTGGCTGGCTGCCATAAAAAAGTTTAAAAGTTAAGAAAATACCCCCAACCACCCAAGACCACCGCAGGCCATGACTTCCCACCGCCGGCCACCGGCGTCAATCGTCATAATGGTGCACAACCGGTAGAATCTAATCGATTATGTGCCGGTAAGGTCTTTTCCGGCCATGGATCTAAAATGGTCAGATCTGGCGTTTCTATGGCCGTTTCACGACCAAAGATGTGGCCGTGAAATGGCCATAGATCTGGTCGTTTTTCAGCCATGGATTTGTGATCCATGGCCATTTTCGACTTTTCTGGTGCACGGCCGGCCATATACGGCTAGTAGTGTGCCATTTCGTTGACTGCGGTGGCATGCGACGGTGGTGGCTGGTTGTCAATAGTGTCTTGAGGTGGATATGGGTGATTTTGCTACAAATTAAAGTTTTTATATGGTTGGGGTGTTTTAGCAAAATTTCAAATGTAGGGGGTTAAAAGAATATTTCAAAAAATATTAATAAAAAATACTATTATATTAATATTTAAAAAAGAGAGCAATTTAGTAATCTATATAACATATTTACTCATTTATCCTCCCAACCAAACATATTATTCACCAATTTATTCGAATCAACCAAACACATTTTCTAAATATTCCTAGTAATCTTCAAGATGATTTTTCTTTTCGTTAATATAATATACCCCTATAATAAAATATTATATGATTCAAACACCCCAAAGGGTATTTGGGCATTTTCTATTAGTTTTGATTAAATGGATTTCTCTCTTTTTAATTAAGTGTTTAAAGCTACTATGAAAATGGTCATGATCTTGTTAGCTAATTGAAGTATGTTCATATGTGTTTAGCTAATATTGTAATTAATTTTTTTGGTAACGAGAGTCTCTGGGCAGCTAACGTGCACCTCAATTAATCTTTAAAGTCTATTGAACACCCTACAAGACCAAAAGACAAAAAAAAATACAATGTTATTATGATAGGTAACCCCAAAGTTTAAACACGTGAAATAAAAGAAGTGAGAAAACATCCTTGACTGTCATAGCAACCTCTTAAGGTTATAAGTAATTAATTTTGTTTGTAATCAAGTCAATTTTCTTACTATGATTATGAATCATTGAATAATGGAAAAAAAAATCATGTTTGTATTATTTATGAAACATTATAAATTAACTTTTAAAAATACTATTCTTATAAATCATATTCAATGCATTTAAAGATTTCCATTTTTCACAATCTTTTTCTCTACTTTTTTCTGTGTAATAGTGAAAGAATTAGGAATGTGTTTGTTTCATAGCTTAGCAAGAGCAAAAGCGGATTTTACTTCTCATATAAGTGGTTGCAAATGTGACACGTATATCCAACTCGGTGTTGTGGACCTACCTTTCACAAGATTATTGTGAGCTCTGACGTTGATCAATCAATGGTGATGAAACCGACCAATAATCATTGTCATTGATTTACCACCACCGTCCATCCAACTCAGTCCAACCGCACCACCTCCGTTGATTATCCCAACCACTCACATAATGCCACGTTTCTTTGTCCAAACAGCGGCCACCCATCACAAAATATTTTTATTTAAAAGCAACTCTTATGAATAACAATAATGCTAAAGCTACCGAGTCAACAACCGATTTGACATACTGACTTTTGGTGAATTGAGATAAATTTTGAGAAGTCAATAATTGGGCAGTGGGTCGATATAGCAAAATCGGTAATCTAATCAGTAAGTGTAGCAAGGTCCTATGAATAATCATTATTGTCTTATTACGAAACAACAAAAATGTTCTCGGCCAAACTTTGATAATGAATAAAATAGTTCGTGGCTGTTATTTTGCCAAGTGTCACGCACAAGTAACTGGTCGGTTGTTCTTTTCGCTTCTGGTGAGTTGTAAGGTAACCCGTCGTCTGTACGATCACGTGTACAATAATACAATGAACCTGCAATCTGTATCATCTAGAAACTTCCAAGCGACTTCAAAAGTATACACATGGACATGGAAGATTATGGGAAAAGAGAACAAAATGAGTGTGTTGATGTTTCATACCATGTTATAATCATAACCTTTTCCAATGGATTTTGTACGAGTTAGTTTGAGATTATTATAGCTTATTATGAGTTTAATAAGTTTTTCTTCAATTTCAAAAATGATTATGAACGTATTTAGTAAATGTTGTTTTTTATATTTGTTATGATTTTTGTTAGGGATGGACATAAAACCCAACCCTACGCGGAGTTGGGGACCCATCCCACTCCAGTCCGAATGGGACAGAATTTTCTCGAATCATTCGAGATCGGACCCAAAATCAGTCTTGAAATTCGGGGACGGGCTAAGGTTGGGAAAGGTCTTATCCCGCCCCGAAATCCCCAGGCCGGCTTGTGTATATATATATATNCCCTATGGGGAGTTGGGGACCCATCCCACCCCAATCCGAATGGGGCGAAGTTTTCTCGAATAATTCAGAATCGGACCCAAAATTAGTCTTGAAATTCGGGGACAGGCCAAGGTTGGGATAGGTCTTGTCCCGCCCCGAAATCCCCAGCCCGGCCCGTATATATATATATATATATACATATTTTATTTTAATAATTAAAAATCAATCATATATACCTATATTAATTTTAATATTTGAAAATCAATCATATATTATACAATAACAAATTATAATTATGTAAGTATTTTATGAAACTATATACAAATAGGTAGTAAATAAAATTAGATTAAATATAATAAATCGTTATAAATATTTGTAATATATATATATTATACATAATATGTTAATGTTATGAAACAAAAGTTATACATTTAACATTATACATTATGCATTATATATGGTATACATTTGACATTATACATTGTACATTATAAATTATACATTATATATAGTATATAAATATAATGTATATAACATATATATGTTATACATTATACATAATATGCTATTAAATATAATCATATGTTAATACATAATATATATGTTATATATGTATAATATATCATTTGATATTTTGATTGATTATAATAAATCAATAAATCATTATAGATTTAATTTCTTTTTGGATGGTATATTATAATTTGGAGAAAATGATAATAAAGACACAAAACTCCCAAACGGAGAATTCAGAGAATCCCTGAATTCCCTGTTTGGGGAACGGGCTTTATTTGGGGATTCTCAAAATTTCTTGAACGGGCTATAGGTCGGGATCGGGAAATCCCCTTGGGTTTTCGGGCCGAGGCCGAAGACAAGAATCCTTGGCCCCGACCCGGCTCATGCCCATCCCTAAGTTTTATGATTTATATGAATTTGTTGTTATATGTATAATAACTAGAAAAAAGATATTTTATTTCTTAATATATTTTTATAATTCTAAATTTGTATTTCAATAAGTAATTAAAAATGTATTTATATTTAATAAAATATCAATTAATTAATAATTCAAAAACTCCCGATCTACTAGAATTTGGTGATTTCATGGTATTTCAATACATATTTAGGCCGTAAAAGGTGGCCGAATCTTTTGTCAACTCCTACAAAAAAAAAAAATTAAGTCTCAGAATCCAAACGAATCATCTGATTCCGATAGATCAAGAGTTGCCAGTCTTGATGGACTGTTTATGGCTTCAACATGCCACTATTGATTGTTGATCAATGGTGGTTTGATTGGCGTCAATCGTCAATTAATAGTGGTTGACTATTGCCAATCCACTTCTATCTCTATATCCTTTTAACTTATAAATAAATTATGAAATTATTTATTTAATGAATTAAATGTTAATTTAAAATTTATTTTGTAATTTGAATAACTATATATGGGCATGTTTGACATTTTACAATATAAAATCAACTTTAAAAATAATATTACTATCTCTTAAAATCTTTTTATATAACTAATTATATTATAATTTCAAACTTAATCAGTTTTAAAAACCGTTTACCAAACATTTTTGTTATTGTAGCTTAAGAATCAATTACAATCCCGAAAACACTCTAAGTATAAATATTTGGGTTGGATTTTTTTGAAATAATTTTACGTATGCAATTAGCGTTAGGCACGTAAAAAAATGTCTTAATAAAGGTCCAACAT